CGGTTCAGCTGGTGGCATCGGGTTCCCCAGCTGCCCCCCCGCCCCGCACTTTGCGGAGGCAAATACCAAAAGCAGGAGAGCAAAAGGTCAAAATCAGCTGGATCCCACCCCCAAGATCATTTTCCTTCTCAACCCAAAAGTCCAGCTGGTGTAGGAGCTGCTCTTCCAAAGCTCAGCTCAGCTAAGGGTTTTCTTTCAGCCTCTTCTTGTGGTTGGAACCTAAATAGGAATATTTCCAGCTGAGATAAAATTAGCTTACCATTTAGCATCAAATCTGCTTCGTTGTGGACTCAATCAGCACGGTCTTACAATTAGCAACACGTCAAAGGCTATTTTGCTATTGAGTTTTCCAAAGTTGGCTTCCCAGCTGCACCACGGAATTATTTATCAGCAAAAGGAACTGACAGTACTTTTGCAGGGGGAAAAAAAAAACACCAACAAAACCAACCCAAAACAAATCCCAAAACAAAACACAAAACCCCACACCACAAACAGGAAACAATTTGCTGGTAATGAGCAGAGTGCTCTGGAAATGAGAGCGGCGAGTTGCACAGAAATTCAGCCGCCGCCTTGGCACGCCACGAGCCGGTGTTGTCCCCCCCGTGCTCCCCAGCAGCAATACCCACCGTACGTACATCCTTCAGCCCGAACGCCTCCACTCCTCCCTTAGTCATCCCCACTTTCATCTGCCAGGCCACGACCTCAGCAGCAGCCCTGGAAGAGCCTCTCTCTTTAAATATATATTTCACCGAGTTAATGAATGAGCTGCTGCATCTGTTTCTCCCCAGCAGCTGCTTGCAGGGAGAATTTGCCTGCTCTGGTTTTTGTTTTGTTTTTTTAATTAAGGCTGGATTGCTGCTTCTAGCTGCCCCCAGCAGCATCTGCTGGCTGAAAAGGTTCACGTCCTGCATGGCTCACCGTCACCAGCATCGCTCAGGCTTTCATGGCCACAGCGCTCCTCTTGGAGGGAGAAGGCCTGCCAGAAAGAACCCCGAGGTCTATCGGACCCCGGTGGGATAGCATCATCCTTGCTTAAAGGCTCACCGGCACGTTGGGGTGGCCCCCAGTTAGGGTGGGCAAGCCTAGCCCTTCCCAAAGAGATGGTGTGGACCTCACAGCCTCCATTTCTCCACTCACCAGCACAAATCCTTAAGAGATGCATGAAAGGCAGGTTGCTGCCTGTGTCCTCCACCTCCAGCAGCGCTTTAGAGGTGCTCAACATCTCACCACCTTCTGAAGGCAACAGCTACCAGGTGCCGATGAAACTGGGATTGAGCCCCATCCACCCAGGGAACACAGATAGCAGCTACGACAACCCTGTGTCACGCAAGACTTGCTCATGAGGAACCCAAAAGGGTGTTTTGTCACCTGCTCAGAGAGCAGCAGAAGGCGGGGGCACCTCCACCATCAAACCAGAGCACTCGTCACCTAGCTGGGGACACCGCCACACTCATCGGCAGAGACAGCCTGCCCCGGTTTCAGAGCCTACAAGGATAAGACATAGCTCCCCAACCTTCTTCTGAGCATCCATTCGCTACCAGCTTTTTTAACAGAAGAAGGAATTTACTGTTTGGTCCTTTCCTGGGCTATGCTGTACACCCTCAGCACATCTCCGCGCCGTCCCTGCTTCTCCAGCCACCACCCAAATCCCAGCCCCTGCTACCGGCACCGCCTATAGAAATGGCATCTAACCCAGCATTTGCCATCGGTGGGCTTCTCGGGCATCCACTAAGTGTGGTCAAGGGATTTTTATTTTTTTTTTAGTTCCTCTTTGGGATGAGAAGGTCTGCTTTAATAATACAGAAAACCCAACATTCCTCAGCTTCATCTCAAAACCCATCACCTGATGAGGCATTTTTATCCCACTTCCAGTTCATTTAACCCTGCCTGCCCTTTTAAAGCCAGAGGGAAGTCACTTCTCCAGCAGTAACACTCAAGCACCTTGAAAACATCCAAGTAGCATCACCTGAACCTTTTTTGACTTGCTTCTGGGCAGCCAAAACCACCCTGCCAAGCTGCTGGCAGCCACCATGGGGCTAGAGCTGTTTGGGTAGCAGGGGCCAGGTGCCCCCAGCCATGCCGTACAGCCCCGGGGAAGCAGCAGCGGTGGTGGTGGTGGTGGTGTGATGAGCTCTGCTGGCAGCAGGCACCCAGATTCCCCTGCATACCCAGGGCTGCTGCTTCCTCCCCATTAAAAAAATACCTCGTGTGGCCCAGTTGCCTGAGGTGGGCACCTCCCTCCAAGGCCACAAAGCTCTGAGATGACAGCTCCTCCAAGCTGATATGAGCTGGGTTGTGTTGACAGCTGGACTTTGTGATCTTGGAGGTCTTTTCTAACCTTAATAATTCTATGAGCCGCACTGACCCTCAGGACATACCTGGGAGCAGGTCTCCATCCAAAGAGGGCAGTGAAGCCACCAGGTGACAGCATGTATTTGGAGGGTGCTCCAAAGCAGCAGGGAGCCTTGCTGGCAGCTTCAATGGAGGAACCAAAAGCATCATCCACAAGCAAGAGGAGAGTCCTTTGTACCATCTGCAAAAGCTTAAAGTCAAGCAGATATGTCAGCACCGTAAGACCATCCCACTCAATAGGTCCATGGCAGCAGGGACTCACTGTCCCCTAGTCAAACCAGCCCCTTCCTTGGGCTGTATCTCCTCAGAGAGATGCTCCCAACATCTCCAAACAGCACCTCCAAAAGGCAGGGAGACGCTCCAGCACAACCACAACCTGCTCCCTCACCAAATACCCTCTACCTCCCCCAGCCCCACAGCTATTTGTGGCCTCTGGATGAGCTGATGCAGCCCACCTGGCCCCACATGTGGTTCCCCACCACGGGACTCATCCAAATTGCCATAGTGGGTGGAGAAAGCCAGCCTCAG